GACTTCTTCTAATTCTTTCAAAGAAAGATTCTGGAAATCTGGTATGACAACATTAGCTACTGCTTCTCTAATTTCTGAAAATGGGTTGGCATCAATTCCCATGGCCTTTTCTGTCTTAGTTGGAAATTTCAATCTCCCCTTCCGAATTTGTTCTTGGATCCTGTCTCAAAAAATAATGTAGTTTTTAGTTGAGTGGGACCAAGAATTAAGCCATTTGCAGTACAATTTTCCTTTAATTTCTTTAGAATTTGGGATCTTAACTCCCTTAGGAAACTTAAAGAAATGTGCTGCTAGCAAATGATCAAATATGTCATCTACTTTTGTTATGTCAAAAGAATATTTCCTATAAAGGTCTTTCCTTTTGAATTGTTAGTCAATTGTAGTATCTTTCTGAACCAATGCCTCACAGGTCATAGGTTCTTTTCCTATGATCTCTACTGCATCAATTTCAAAGTTAGGGTCCCTATAATAGGTCCTATATAATGAATTGCTTCGATCTTGTTATTCTTCAAGTAAGGTTTCATATCTAGAAACTTTATAAGTGAGTTCCACTAGATCTCAAAACTTTATCGAATCAAACTTCTTTCGAAGCCTAAATTCTAGCCCATTTTGGGCCAATCTAACAAATTCAAGTTCGGGTAATACGACCCTACATTTGTTATGTGCTCTTTTGAATCTATGAATTGAGCAGCTTTCTCATCAGGCCTTTGGCTCAATCTTGCCAAGTCTGCCATTGAAACCTCAGGTTCTGTTTGAAAAAACTGGGCATGAAACATTTCCTCCATTTGTTGCCAAGTTTGAATAGAACAAGGTGTAAGGTTAATGTACCAAACAAAAGCTGTTCCAGTTAGAGAATTTGGAAAAAGTCATAGTTTTATATAATCGTTATTGGTAAATTCACCACATTGGCCTGTAAATCTAACAATGTGTTCAATGGTTGACTGGTTTTCATTCTTATAAAAAAAAAATGTCAAAATTCGGTATTTTATATCCTTTGGAGTACTCATGCAGCCTATCCACCCATTCTGGGTAAGGGTTTTTATAGATAGGAGTTCGGACCCCCCGAGCCATGGGTCCACAGATTTCTCTTACTACATCTGCAATGTGATCTCTAGGTACCATGTTTGGCGCCAATTGAGCCGCTATTGGGGGAGCAAACACTGGGTTTGAAGGAACCACTTGTGCTTGGGGTCCTCTTGGTCCAAGCAAAGGCATATTTTGGACTAGTTGCACCTATTGTGCCTGGTAAGCCTGAGGATACGGCTGAACTCTTGGGGCAGGTGCCTGGCCTACAAAAGACGCTACAAAAGGAACCGCTGGATGGAGAACACGCATTGTTTCTCTTCCAATTGCAAGAATCCCATCCAACCCCTTGGGTATAGCTTCGAACATGGGATTAGTATATGTTCTATCATTCCTTTGTGTTGACCCTATTCCACCAATATTTATGGCTTCACAGGTAGGTATAGACATGTTTTAGCCTGTTGGCATTCTAGAAAGGGGCTCATACCATGACTGAGGCACTAGTACTAGTCTTTCAGGTGTTTGATTACTGGTTTGACCATTATTTTGCCCATTATTTTGCATAGGCTGTCTATTTTGAGCCAATTGCTGCTGAAGCAGATTTATGTTTTCTTCAGCTTGTCTAATGATAGGTGGTTGATATGTATGCATTCAATCCAAAAAGGATACTTCCCACCTCTCCATTGTATACATTAACTGTTATCCCATAATATCCACTAAACCTCCCCAGTGATTAGCTGGTGGTATGGATGAGACAGTCGAAGGGCCTACTTCATGGCCTTGCCCAATATTCTGGACTTGGGTTATATACCCTGAAGTAATGGCTTCTTCAACCACCTGTGGAGGATTGTTTGAAGCTGACACGTTTTCAGGATATGGCTCAACATCTTCCTCTATATTAGTTCCTTCTAACCCTTCTTCGAGGTGGTCATTTTCTCCTTTTGCTCGACATCTAGCCATTTTTCATGTCCCAATAGGCGTGCCAAAAATATATGTTGACTTTTTTGGCTTTCGAAGGTTAATAATGTAATTTTAAGCATGCCAGCAAGGATCAATAAGTCCTTACAGAAATTTTATTTGAAAATCAATTATCAGACGATTGTGTTGAAGTTCTTTCAGCCTCAATGAAAAGGACTTTTACTAGTGGCTTTTGCTCATGAGAAAATTAAAGATATTGAAGATGATAATAGATAAAAACAATTTTATGAACTGAATTTCATTAAATGATATGAACTTACAATGATACCTTTGCACTCTCACATCTCGAAGGTGTTTTACAGCAACAAACTACTTGGAACTACTCCTAAGAATTGAAGTGCAATACATGAATTGAAGAACAAGAAATGTAAAAACTGGAAAGGAAAATATAAAGTAAATAACTTGTTTCTAGATCTCAATTTGGGTCTTTTCCCTATTGGCCTTCTCTTCTATTTATGCTCTCTAATGGTAACTGTCGAAGTGGACTTCTAATCGTCGAAATACCCTTCCACGATCACTGGTCATGACCTTGAACAGTTTGCTCCCACCACGCCATTCTTGCAGTTGGACTTCCCTCTTGAATTTGAATTTAAATTATGAGTAACCGTTGGGCCGCGTCATCTTGCGCCTTCTAACTACTCTAATGCTACGCAGATCCATCGTCACCAACGTAAGCTATCACATGTTTGTCGCTGACTGTAGACTTACATTAACTCTCCAAATTACCCTTTACGAGTCACGTATTAAGTTACGATTGGCTGATACAAAATATGTAGCCAATAGACTGTTAAAGTGCCACAACATATTTGATGTATTGGGTAAGGAGAGGGATGTCAAATTTATTTGCTTTGTCTTTTGTTTTTTATGTGGGAGTCACATTAAAAGAATTTTGTTTGAATAATTGAAAAGCAAATTGAAGTATATATATATTAAAGTAAAAAATGGAATAAAATTGTAAATTTAACATATTTTAGGTGAAATGTTTCTTTTTAGAAATGTCAAATATGATGATATCAAATTAACCACATAAACCTTAAAAAAAATATATACATAAATTAATACATGCACTAAAATTCTTATTAAAAGAACACGTGTCCAAATATTCTTGGAGGTTTTAGTATCATTTTTTTGGGGGGGGGAGGGATGTCAAATTTATTTATTGAGTTATGTTAGGAATTTCAAATATTCTACCAAACCTCTCACATGAGTGTGGAATCCATACACATGTGGATTTATGTGAGTCCCACCCAATGTGAGAAGTTTGGTAAAATATTTGGAAAACATAACATTTCTCTCATTTATTTTTTATTTTTTTAATGTGGGAGTCACATTAAAAGGATTTTTGTTTAAATAATTGAAAAACAATTTGAAATAAAAAATATTAAACTAAAAACTATAATAAAATAGTGAATTTAACATACTGGGTGAAATGTTTCTTTTTAAAAATGTCAAATGTGATGATATCAAATTAACCACAAAAGCCTTAAAAAAATAGAAATTCTACATGTTATTTATTTGGTAAGAAATATAACAAAATTATGCAACAACAAATATCAAGTTAATTTGATTTTCTCATAAATGATATACATAAAAAACTTAAAAAATAAAAATTCGGATATTTGAAATAGACTCTATGATAGGCCTATAGGCTTGGTTCGGTTGGGAAAAAAAAAAAAAAAAAACGTCACCATTTTAAAAAACATTACAAGCCTAGATTGATAGTTCATAAGGCTAGATTGATAGTTCATAAAATCTCTGGCACTTGGAGAAAAATGTCACCCTTTCAATAAACATTTTCTCAGTGTAGTTTGTCAAACAAGTTTTTCATTTCACTTTCCACTCTTTCTATTTTCAAGAACAGCTCAAGTATTTTTTTTCCTCCCAAACACTGAACAACATTGGCCTCGTTTGGAAAAAAAAGTTAGGCTAAAATAATTAATAAGATAAAAGATTATATCCAATTCATAATTATTTTATTTTTCTCTCACAACTATCAAATCAACCGGAAAAAAAAAAACAAACAAACAAACAAACCAACCAACCAACTTTTCAAACACAACTTTTTTAGTCAGACTAAAATAACCAAAAAATAAAATAACCAACTAACATAACCAACTTCCCAAACAAAGCCATTGACTTGCCAAAATAAATAAAAGGCCCATCAATTTTTGTTTCATTTGAAAATTAAAAACAAAAGAAAAAATTGTTCACGATTTGGAATTTTCCAAATTTTACGCTTAAACTTTTTATTTTAAACTAAAATACTTTAATAATATTCAAATTTTATTCTAATTTTGATTGTTTTATTTAACCCACATGCCACTATATTTGACCCAACCTTATCAATGCTCTCCCAAACCTTTTCTATTAGAATCGAGTTTGAAAAACTACAATTAGATTGGATAATTTTGTCATCCTTATTCACACCAAAGGGTGACATATTTCTGCCAACCCACTACAAGTCCAAAATATAAAGCACCCCACCATCCTTTAACTTGAAAAATATTTGAGAGTTTTAAACCACGAACTCTAATGGGTGAGACCCACCCATTGATTTAATGTTTCAGTTTTTTTTTATTTATTTATTTAATAATATTTGAAAGCTCTAATTTGTACGTTCTAATATAACTCTAATGATATAGAGAGTATCTATGTGAAAGTAAAAGCCCACACTCCTCAATCGCTCTCTACTCCGTCTCTCTTCCACCTCACTAGAGCACCATTTAGAACTCTAATATTAGATCTATGTATCATCACTTTTTTTTTTTTCCTTTTTTGACCTTGCCACCTCATTAGAACCCTTATTAGAGCTCCAAATTTAGAGTTATATATAATTACTCTTTTTAACTCTTAACTTTTGAGGCCATTGTTTTGGATCCTCAGTAAAGAGCTGATACGTGTATGATGTGGGTTATGGCAGAGATTCACCAAATTACTAGCTGCAGCACACCAAATTGTAATTAATTCTAGCCAAGTACTGCAAGGCACATCCCTCCCAATTGAATTATAATTCGACACGTATCATTGTAATTCAGAATTGCATCAAAGAAATAAAATACAATGATCTCACTGTGATCCATTCCAAAAATAATTTGTAATTATTTTACATGAATGATGGCCCAATTATTTGACCAATCTAGTATCTTCCTTCGAGGGGAATAATTCTCTTTTGTCAAAAAATGAGTACAATATAGATTTGGAATCATCATTTCCTATCCCCATTGCATCCTGTCCAAACCATCATCTGCATCATATCTTTGATCTGAAACTAGATAATTTGAAGTAAACAACACCCGATCTTTCTCCTCCCAAACATACATTAATGTATACTAATTGGACGTTATTTTTTAATATTAAGTTGTTTCCCCATCAAATCAGCAAGGGGAAGAAACAATGAACTATATATATATTCTAGCCGTAATTCATGGATATATGTCACCTGCAACACAGCATCGGAGAAAATTTTACAAAACAATCACTACTATTGTCGTGAGTTTGAAGTTCAGAAATCAAGCATCAAGCAGAAAGGTACTCAACAGAAGTATGCATGACGGTCGTGTTTAAAAAAAATAAAAAATAAAAAATAAAGAACTTTTCAGATACATTACCTCATTAAAGGTCAATGGGAATTCTCAGCCCATCACGTGCAAGCTGAACCGGGATCCCTTCTCTATAAGCAAAACAACGACAAAAGCTAGAAAGATCAGTTCTCTACAGTTAAGAAGCTCTAAATATTTCAGTCCTACATCCCATTTGGTCTTTCAACCACAAAGATCGCAATTAGACCACTGAGACAGAGATCACAAAGAAATTGCAAGATACAGTACCTTTTCGACCATTCCCTAAGAAATTCATTGTCCACGTGGTAATCAAATTCATGGGTCATCCCAATTAACAAAGCTCGCTTTGGGCACAACTTCTTCACAGCATCAAGGGTCTGAAAACAAATACTAACATGAACAACCCTGGCAAGCATCAAATTATTTAATGGAAAATTTTCAGTAATTTTAGGAGTTACACAAACCTGGGGGAAGCAAAAGTGAGTGTTATGGGACCCCTTCTGCAGAATTTGGAAGAAAAAAGCAGTAAAGAAAATTAGGGGAAAAAATGAACAAGGGAAAGAAGAAAAAAGACAGCAATAAAATATAGAATGAAGCAACAAGTTTCCATCAGCAGAAATAATTAGTGGAAGCTGAGACATAGCGAATCAAAGAAAGTTGTTTGGAAGTATATGGTAAAAATCTATGCATTGTATATACAATAATGATTCAAATGAAATTGTGATCAACCGTAAAGAGACAAGTAACGTCAGCTGAGATGAAACAAGAAATTTAGGCCCATGAGTTGACCCCAAAAAAAATAAGGACCTTAGATAATTATAATGACGAGATGGCTCAAAGGAATCATGTAGGCAACACCAAATACTAAGGCAATTGGCTATTTTAGTCAAAAAGCCACTAAATGGCCAAAAAGCTAAAAAGTTTTAAATTAATATAAAAAAGCAAAGATTCCTTCACATTCACTCCACTTTTTGCAAGTCGTTTCATAAAAAGCCAAACAATCCTTCCGAATCATATATCAGTCTTTTCACCTCATATTTTAGCTGAAAAGCCACTTAAAAAACCACTTCCCAAACGGGGCTCTAAAAATGAGGCTTCTCTGAATGCCTGTAGTAGCTTAGCAACTGTAATAATGATTGTATTCAGCCATTGCTGGCTTCTTTCTCCAGTCTTTTAACTATATTTCCTCTGCTGCAAGTTCCACCTCTCTTTCTGACCAAACCGAGGGTCAGAAGAACTGTCCAACTAAGTCTTAAAATTGTTTTCAATAAATTCAAACCATGTGTAGGCACAGGCCACGCAACTAAATATCTCAAAAGAAAATTGTGCGTCATAAATCCTGAAACACACACAACCCCACAGAGACAACAAGTTCTTCAATCTTAAAGATCTTTAAGGACAATTTTTCCAGTCCTTAATAATCTTACCCATTTAAAATTTCTTAAACCTCCACCATTTTCATAGGCAAAAAAATGGATGTATTAATCTCCTTTTTGGGGAAAAAAAATCCTTCTTGTGAAAGTAATAGTATTACTAAAAGTTCTAAATTTTATGTATGAAGTGTGCAAGATGTATATGGATAAAATGCCTGCATGTTAGGAATTGAAAGTCCCAACCATAAACATCTAAACACATGCAGAAGCCCATGAAAGATGGAAATCATGGGGGAGTGCCTCTAAAATAGAGGTATAAAGTACCACCAGAAGGCCACAATACTTTTATTCTTGTTTCAATGGACTCATTCCAGCTTAATGTCATCAGAAATTATCCTATTCTGTCCTGCCTTTAAATAAAACATCCTAGTGCAATGAAGCCCACCATCCACACTATTATTCATGGTCTATTCCAAAACATTAACCAGATTCCACATTGAAAAGAGCTATCGTCCAAGCCATATCAAACCTATCCAAGAATGTTGAAAAAGAAAAAAGAAAGTTCAATCTAGTTACTAGATAAGAACATAAGAATAGGTGTGTAGAAATAATTTTGGCAACAGAAGCAACAAATGCAATCAATCTGCTCCTCTTCCTTATTTTTTATTTTTATTTTTATTTTTTAAATCACTAATGCACTTCTTTTCATGATCGACATTAGAAACAAATACTTTCCCACCAAGTTGGATGGTTGGACACTTGATAGCAAAACTCACTGGAAAATGGTCTTTATTTTGTTACAATTTTTCTCTAGCAAGTCATTCTTTAATGAGCTCCCTGATAATCCTAGTATTGCTCCTCATGATATCATTTGAACTGGATGCGTACCTCTTAAAGTTGAAGTGTTTGTGTGGTCATTGGCAAAGAAAAAAATTAATACCAATGGCATGGTTGGAAAAGGAGGCCTAATCACTTTTTTGCTTCCACAATGGTGTATTTTGTATCAAAGGATGAAGAAAGTATCAAACATCTACTTTTGCATTGTCCGGTGGCTTTTACATTGTGGTGCACACTTTTTAAGCTGTGTAACAATTGGCTTCTATCTCTTGCATCCAAATTCTTTTGATTGATTTTAGCAATTTTGGTACTAATAACAAGGTGCGATTCCTTTGGAATTGTGTTACATTCACCATGTTTTGGGAGACATGATTAGAGAGGAATACTAGCAATTTTTATGATGAGTTTGATGATGAAGAGGGGACATCAGATAAGATTTGTCATCTAGCTTATTTTTGGGCTTTGATTTCATCTCCTTTTAAGGGGATTCCATTATTTTTTTTTATTAGTAGAGATTGGAGAATTGTGTGTGACATGTAATTTTGGTTTTTTGTTGTTATTTTGGTGGATTTTTTGTCCACCACATCCTTGTGCTAATAAATTTTGGGATAATTACTAGCAGATCTTATTGACTGAACTTATTTACTCATGAGTCCTAAGTTAAATTTTTTTACATATTTGTCCCTCGTTTTGATAAAAAACCAAAACCAAACCAAACCTTGAGTTCCATCAAATGGGGTCGGCTACATGAATCCTTCTTCTCTACTCGACTCTATCAATGGCCATTTGGTTAGTCAAATTAAGAAGATTCATATCTATATTTACTACACTAGCCCACGTTAATCTAGGTCAATCCCTCGTTTTGATAATGCCTAGCGGCTGGGCACACGCGATGCATGTGCAAACTCATTATTGACATTTTTTTAAATAATGTACATATATATAACTATGTGCAATGTAACATTTGATATTAATATATTTGATATTTGATAAATAAAAAATATATATATATGTATATATTAAAATATATACAAATCTTTATAAAGAAAGGCACGCACGAAATTAATGAAACAAACAAATCAATTTTTTGGAAACATAATAAACCCACAAACACAAATTTTAATAAAAAGAAGAAAAATAAAAGTCAATTTTTTTATTTTTTTATTTTTATAATTTGATAACATAATGAAACATTTTATTTTATAGAAAGTATAATTAACAGTATTACATAAAAAGACAAATACAAAAATACAAATCCAAGGCACTTACAACACTGAATTTTTTTTAAGAACACTGAATATTTTTTAAAAACACACAATTAAGTAACAAACAAACCAAATTTTGAAAAATTGAATTTATACACAAAAAATAAACAAATGCTTGAAAAAGTAAAACAGGAAGAAAAAAACCCCAAAGTGTTTAAGTCTAAGTCTAATCTAAAAAATTTCACACACACATGGTGCCAAATTATTCAAAGAAGCCTGCATAAATATGAATTCAGAACCTAAAAATTAATTTAATGAAAATACAAAAAACACTGATTTTTTTTTCCAAAAATACACACAAAATTAAGAACACGGATTTTTTTTTATTTTTTTTTCAAAACACAGACAATGAAACTTTTTAATGAAGGGAAAAAAAAAACATAATAGTGTTCTCACAAAAGTAAACAAACAAACAAATCAAATTATAAAAAAAAAAAAACTGAATTTATACACAAAGAAAAATAGCTTAAAAAGTGAAATAGGAAAAAATCCAAAACTATTTAAGTCTCTAAAAAATTGCACATAGGTGTCAAAGTGTTTAATTAAAAACACTTCTAAATATTAAGAACCTAAAAATTAATTTAATGAAAATACCGATTTTTTTTTTTTCAAAAACACACGCACACAAAATTATGAGCACTGGTTTTTTTTTTTTCCCCCAAAAACACACACAATGAAACTTTTTAATGAAGAAAAAAAAATACATAATAGTGTTCTGAATCAATATATTTTTTTTTTCAAAGAACCTAATTACATAATGAAACTTTTTATTAAAGAAAATAAAAATATAATTAACAATACTACACTTACAATGTAGGATAAGCAGTAGATATATATTTCGGATAAAGAGAACCATAACATTGCAATGTTCTTGAATAGTATTTCTCCCAACAAAAAAGAGAAAAATCATTGAACAAATAAAAGAGAAGATTTTATAGTAAATAGAGAGAGGGGTGAAGATGTTGAAACTGTTTAAAACTGCATAGCAGTTTGAAAACGTGGGAGGTGAGATTGGTTGGTATCATGAGAAGTGGGATTGGTTGTAATTTATTATTTTACCCTTAATTACAAACTGATAAGTATAAAAATAATATAATTATTTAAGAAGTTAAAGTCATTTTAGGAAAAATTGAAAAACTTTTCTAAGACAATAGCTTCAGGACTCCAAAATAATTTTTTGGAAACATAATAAACCCACAAACACAAATTTTGATAAAAAGAAGAAAAATAAAAGTCAATTTTTTTATTTTTTTATTTTTATAACTTGATAACATAATGAAACATTTTATTTTATAGAAAGTATAATTAACAGTATTACATAAAAAGACAAATACAAAAATACAACTTCAAGGCACTTAGAGCACTGAATTTTTTTTAAGAACACTGAATATTTTTTAAAAACACACAATTAAGTAACAAACAAACCAAATTTTGAAAAATTGAATTTATACACAAAAAATAAACAAATGCTTGAAAAAGTAAAACGGAAAAAAAAAAACCCCAAAGTGTTTAAGTTTAAGTCTAATCTAAAAAATTTCACACACACATGGTGCCAAATTATTCAAAGAAGCCTGCATAAATATGAATTAAGAACCTAAAAATAAATTTAATGAAAATACACAAAAAACACTGATTTTTTTTCCAAAAATACACACACACAAAATTAAGAACATTGATTTTTTTTTTTTTGCACTGATTTTTTTTTTTTTTTTTTTTCAAAACACAGACAATGAAACTTTTTAATGAAGGAAAAAAAAAAAAACATAATAGTGTTCTCACAAAAGTAAACAAACAAACAAACAAATCAAATTATAAAAAAAAAAAAAAAAACTGAATTTATACACAAAAAGAAACAATAGCTTAAAAAGTGAAATAGGAAAAAATCCAAAACTATTTAAGTCTCTAAAAAATTGCACATAGGTGTCAAAGTGTTTAATTAAAAACACTTATAAATATTAAGAACCTAAAAATTAATTTAATGAAAATACCGATTTTTTTTTTTTCAAAAACACACACACAAAATTATGAGCACTGATTTTTTTTTTTTTCCCCCCAAAAACACACACAATGAAACTTTTTAATGAAGAAAAAAAAATACATAATAGTGTTCTGAATCAATATTTTTTTTTTTCAAAGAACCTAATTACATAATGAAACTTTTTATTAAAGAAAATAAAAATATAATTAACAATACTACACTTACAATGTAGGATAAGCAGTAGATATATATTTCGGACAAAGAGAACCATAAGATTGCAATGTTCTTGAATAGTATTTCTCCCAACAAAAAAGAGAAAAATCATTGAACAAATAAAAGAGAAGATTTTATAGTAAATAGAGAAAGGGGTGAAGATGTTGAAACTGTTTAAAACTGCATAGCAGTTTGAAAACGTGGGAGGTGAGATTGGTTGGTATCATGAGAAGTGGGATTGGTTGTAATTTATTATTTTACCCTTAATTGCAAACTGATAAGTATAAATATAATATAATTATTTAAAAAGTTAAGGTCAATTTAGGAAAATTTGGAAAAAGTTTATGGGGAGTGGCTTCATGACACCAAATTTGTTGTTCCCTTTTAATAATAGAATAGATAAAATTTTGAGACTTTAAAATTTTGTTTTGTGTTTGTGGAATGATATTTGGTGAATACTGATAAATTTATCAAAGAGATAAATGATTGCGACCTCTTGATTTTTGTTTGTGAGTTTTGATTTATTCTAGCTTCATTTGCGTTAGTTTGTATTCAAATATGAAGTGGGAAGTGTGTATATATATGTATATATTTAAATTACCGTGATAAATTCATCCTTGAAAATTGGAGTAAGACTACAAGTCCAGTCCACTGGACCGGCTCGTAACTGCCCCTAATTTTCATTTAAAAAACAAAAAACAAAAACATCAAGCAGATTTAAATGTGTTCTATATAGTTCAGCAATCAAACATTATAGAGTAGTTAGAATATTGTTGTCCATAATGCATGGGCAACATAGATAGTGACCTGTATTAAAAAAAAATTTAAACTAACGTTTAATCCAAACTTAGAATTTTAAAAACAACAAAAGTAAAAGGAAAAAAAATAAAAATAAAAACTGAACAGGCAAGGAAAATATAAGGAACTAACCTATTGAGCAAAATCATGAGGGAACTTTTAGTTATTAATAGAGTATATATTTATAGTTCAAAAGAAACGGGATAACAAGACTCAGAGAGAGGAAAACAGAAAAAAGAGCATACATTATTACTCTAAAACAACTCAGTAAACAGAAAAAAGAGCATACATTATTACTCTAAAACAACTCAGTAACAAATAGATATCTAAAAGAAAATAGGAGAAATTATCAATAAGTCTTATTTTGCTCCTAAGATTACTATTGAGTCCGATCAAGTTTCAATATAAACAACTAAGTCCCATTTGTTACAAAATATTCCTAAAAGGTTCATTCTTCCATAATGATGTATCTTATTCCAATTTTACCCCTCATTTAATATGAACAACAATTTCATAAATATCTTTAATCTAAGTAAAATTATATTTTTTTAATTGTAAAATTTATTATATTGTATTAAAAATCTCATGCTTATGCTGTCACGTGTCAATTTTTTTATTTAAAATAAAAAAAAATTAGATAAATGAGAAGAAGTGACTTGACTTATGTCAAATGAATAAGACTCTTACCACTCAACTAGAACACAATATATAATAAATATTTTATTTTATATTGTTCAAAATAATATATTTTATTTTATTTTTATTTTTATCATTAAAATATGAACCAAAAAATTCATAAATAATTTATTTTATATAAAATTTTATAATAAAACTATTTTTAATTGTTGAAATTAAATAAATTTCCATAAAAAAAAAAGCATAAATATAAGATTTATCAACTATTTCATACATTGAGAAATATATAAATTTATCGTAGTATTATTTTCGTAACTCTTTGGAATTTTAATAGAATTTAGTCCTTTTAGATTGTTTACACTAAAACAAAAAAATCATAATTTGAAATAACAAAATTATTCATTTTATACTATAATTGTTTTGATCCAATTATTATTTATGATTTTTTAATATAATAATAATAATTTTTACAATTAAAATTTTTAATTTTAGTTAAGTTAAAATTGTTTATAAAGTTATTGTTCATATTAAATAAGAAGAGTAAAATTGGTGTAAGATACAACATTATGGAGGAATGAACTTTTTGTGTACATTTTATGACAAATAGGACTTATTGCCCATATTGAAACTTGATACGACTCAATAATAATCTTGAGAGGAAAATAGAACTTGATATTTTTCCCAAGAAAATATTCAAAGCTATTTCCACTGCAAGTCAATCATATTTTCTCAAATTACAATGAAACTAACTTTAGCTTAGTGACTGACCTTGTACAGTGTGTCCAAGATAAGGAGATCGAGTTGTTGATCACTATTTTTTGAAATATCTGCAAAATGAAAACCTTCCTTAAGCCAACAGTTCAATTTGGGTAAAGAAAAAAGATTGGAAATGCAATTCTAGTTCCTTGGCAAGAAGGGTAAGGGTGAATGAGAAATAAATAACTTTAACTGACAGAATTATGAACGGAAAAAAAAAAAAGAAAAAAAAAGACCTAATTATAATGCTGTGAACAATGTGAAGCATGCAAAGTATATACCCATGTAATGCCATCGAGTACACAAACCAAGCTGGATAAATTTCATCATGAGGAATGGAGAAGGGAGGTGAGTAACGAATATTAACGTCCATTTTAAAAAAAATAAAGGATTGCCTTAATATTATTTTTTTTTAAGTTACCGCAATTACCTTAATTATGTTTTTGGAGCATACTGGCACATGGCTTCAAAAAAACATTGGTTTTGGATAAAGTAGAAAGGTGAAACAGCCTTCATGTAGGCACCATTGTGTAGTTGGAACAAGATTTTAACTAGTTAAGCTGCAGAGTCGATACCATATACTTGCCAAGTAAAAATAAAGCTTCTTATGATCTCCTAGGTGGTCTGGACACAATTAGAAGCTTAGATGAATATACATTCTTGGAGTCCTCACTGATTGAATAAATATAGCCATGATATATTAGGAATGTGTTAAAAAGGAAGAGATCAATTTAAATTTAGTGGCAAAAGGATTTGGAATGTATCAAAATCAAAGCGAATGGAAGATGAAATCTTGGAGTGTGTTGTCCATATCAGGAGACAAAAATATTTACTATTCCAAGTATTTCTTTCAGAAGTTTAGTTTGTATGTTGAAGAAGATCAGTAATGCTGGAGCCAATTACAAAAGAATAAGGGGAAAAAAAATCATAATACTGGAGAGGTTGACTATAATTCAACAGTTCCTCCATACATTAAAATAAATGGACCTGATGTAAAAGGAGTTTAATCACAATTTTTATGACAATAATATTAATTACGCTTTGAAATAGAGGCTGAGTTTAAGCTCTATTGAAAAGCCCCTCCAGAAAGGTTGTCATGAACTTGCAACATCAAGAATCGAGGGAAATTTCAATGTGGTGGGCTATAATTCTTTTACCATATACTCTCTTGGTGGTAGGAATGTGCGTGGTGCAGTTTGAGAGTAAAATTGTAAACCAAACAAATAGTGAATTGGCAAATAACCAAATCGTGGTTTGAACAGTTTGGGAAGTTTCAATTTGTTAGTTGATTGAAGAATAAATTTAAACAATTATCAAGCATTTACCTAATATATAACACTAATTTATGTAATATTTTTCATATATATAACACTGACCAATTTTATATAATATTTTTCATATATATTGTAGACACAAATTTCAAAATGTAAATTGTTTCAACACATTTCGAAATTCAAGTTACAAATGTCCACTATTAGTTTTTTTGACTAAACAGTGTTGACTATTCAATAGCAGGCTCCTATTTCTGATCTGTATTCCAAATCGTTAATTACACATTTTAATTAAACGAAATCTCTTAGTGAAAAACATAAAATTTAACAGAAGACAATTTAAGAAAAATAATTATTTAATTGAAATTGTAGGGATTTAGAACCCTTGAATACAAGATACAATTGTTGGGGTTTAAAACCCTTTACCTATCGCTTGCCATCGTATCAGATGTCTGTAGTGTAAGCTTTTGAGTTCTCTCGGTTTCTCTTCTTCTTTCTTGTGAAGACTTATTTGTTGGAGATAATATTATATTATCAAAATATTAGAAGATATCAGAATAGATGGAAATCCCATGATTTGTTCTTATTATGATTTTTTGTATCTTTGATTTATTTCAATTCCTTAATTGAAGGGATTTGATTTTATCATGTAAACAAGAGTATCAAATTGAGTAAATGAAAGATGTAGCCCTTTAGGGCTTTGTGTGTGTGTGAATGTAGGCCAATATTGGTCGAACCACATTAAACCTTTGTATTCTTACTTTTTTCTTTTTTGTCTCTATTATCTTTCTATATTCAACCTTATTGCCTTATTACAAAACTCAACTTTCTTCGGCTTCTAATTTCTTTCTCTCTACTTGATCTCTAATCTTTGATTTCTAATCTTTTGGTCTTCCCCCCTTCCCTCCCCTTCTTCTTGTGTGATGGTCCTTATATTTATAGAAGGCCATCTATGTGATAAGAGCGCCTTATCTTCATTATAAATTTCAAATTGTATGATAACGCCTTTGAATTTAGGCGAAATCATATCTAATTAATTGTATATCTGATTAACCGTATTGATCTTTTGAGTTTCATCCCCTGTGGTGTCCTTGTTATACGCTCCACAAGTGTCATCCTTTGGTTGAGCATTCTGTACTTCAAGTCTTGTAGGCTCCACATGGTTGAATATCTTGAATAACATCGTTGAAATATGACGTTGTTGTACTTTATTATGCACTTCAACGGATCATATTGATCCTTTTAGGAAGTAATTACCTATAACATTCCTATCGTAGGCTCTATACATGTCACTAATTGATTGACCATATTTGAAATTTTAACATAAATTTGGTTGAAATTTATGTGCCAACATATATAACACTAATTTGCAACAAATTCCACATCTTAAATCTCTCACACTAATTTTTACTTTAATATTTCATTAGAGATTAAAATATATATATATATATATATATGTGGTGCGGTTTCGAATGCGGATTATAAATTTCAAACCGCAAATCAAACTAACCCGCAGTTAAAGGGAGTATCGGTGCGGATTGAGCGATTTTAGCAAATTGGGTGGTATTTTGCACAGTCCTACTTGGTGGTGGTGGGCTAAATTGCTTACAATACCTTAACTCTATGCACCATATACATAATGTAGCTCCACTATTTCATAAAAGTGCCAAACATCAAATGTGCCTAACATCATTGCTCATTTATTAAAAAGAAAACCAAATTTATAAATGTAGAGTTCAAAAATGAAACATTAGAAGGACAATTGCATATAAACATGCTTGTGTGTAGAGTACTGTGATTGTGTCCACAACTCCATTAAGCATCCAAGGCCAAGACTCAACAGATTCATAAGATCCATTAACTATTTGTAAACATGCAAGTCAATTGAACCTCAACAATTTACAGGTTATAAGGTGCATGATGCTCATGACTTCTTATCTCAGACTAGGAGACTTAACTTGATTAAACCTTACAGGTTTCCAGTACCAAAAATTAAGTCACCTGATTCAAAGCAATTTTGTTGTTTTTAAACAGAGTTTTAGACGTGCACATAGGAGATAATCGGATCATAATTGATCTTTGAGTCGGGACCCCTAAATAAGCCCAAGTTCTTTGTAGCAAGCACATGATTTGTAGCAACCATATGTACGAGTGAGAATTATTATAATGGAAGGATGAAACTTCGAGATATAATGGACATGACCACAAACGAGACGAACAAAGGAAAAGACTCACAGTGCTCGGTGGTTGGAAGAATTCGAGAAACATCAGATATATAAGCTACTTTACATTTTTCACCAAAAAGAAAACCCAAAGAAATATAATCTTCACCATGCATCACCTACATCCACAAAGGAAACAGTAAGAAACAAGGGAATACATAATCGTAGTGGAAAGATAGATGTAGAGAAACTAACTGGCAAAGGAACAAGTTCTAGTCCTGATGCAACAAATGGTTTCTGACAGTCATTCTCGATTATCTTCCAGTCAAGCTGTGCAACCCGTCTCAATTCCTGGCCTTCCTTCAGCTTTTTCGGAATCAAGTATGGAAATTTCACACCAACACTGTTTCATATGTGTCAAAAGAAAATAATGAATGCGAATTAGGAGCGCAAATAGTATATAAACTGCAGCGTGATATGCCAGCATAGTCCATATGTGAGACCAAAAACTAAAGTTCTTGCTGAAGAGCTACACACAAGGTGTCATTTCTAGTCCCCAGTGCTAATGTTATGTTCAACTGTGAAATGCCAGCCTCCTGTAGTGCTTTTATCATGAAACTGGTCAACTAGTTATTAATTTATATTCAATAAAGGGGAAAACCTTCGACAGGTTAAAGAAAGTTTTACAAATTATTAATTTGTAGTCTTTGACTTCATCCTCAATAGTCATCCCTGCAAAGGGAAGACATGGGTCAGCAATGACTCGAGACGGAAAGCCTAAGGGGACGGACCAAACACCTACAGCGGAAGTCTCCTCAACCATTGGTACAAGAGGTTGGTAAGATTATATTGGTGTGCAGTTGTTTGCTCACCCGTCCCTTAAACGTACTAACATGTGCCCATTGGTGTGAGTGCCAAACGGGCTATTCATTGTTTACTTTCGAGCATATTAGTGTAGACTTTCAAATAATTGGGCTTGCGCCTTATTTATTTTGAATGTATTTCATTGTAATTCATTCCATAATCTATAATTTAAATGTTGTATTTCATAATTTGTATTATAAAGTACATACTTTCATTTATATTGGGATGTGTGCCGTGTGAGGTTGAGTCATTGCATTGAGAGAACTTTCCATTTTAGGATAAAAATGTGATTTCTCTAAAAACTATAAATTCGGGTACATTTTCTAATATTATTCATTCAAAGACCTTCAGGCACGTTTTACGAAACAAACCTAATTTTTAGAATTGAGAGAAGTTGGCTAAGGAATGCAATTTTGAGAAAGAACAAAGTAATAAGGGTAAATTATATTGACACCCCTGAGGTTTTTATTTAATACAGATCCCCCCTCACATTCAAAAAATTACACTTAACTCCCCTGTCAGATTAAAATGACATATTTGCCCCTTGGCCTTTAAACATATAAAATAATAAAACAATATTGATATTTTGTTCATATCATTTCAAGAGAAATAACAATCATCTTCTTTGGTTTAACTCACACAAAAAATTAATTTTTGTATTTTTCGTGTTTTTTGTTGTTACTGAATTTTTTTTTTTAAATACGTTAAGCAATTTTTTTATTTTTAGATACACCTAATCTAGATATACTTAAGAAGTACAATATTTTGTGATTTTTTTTTTTTAAATTCACTAAATACAAAAATTCAATAATACTGTAATAAAAGTGAATGACGGTGTTTAGTAATACTGTAATAAATGTGGGTGAATAGACGAGAAAGAAAAATGATGGCGGAAATAAAAATGAAAAATTCTATTGATATATAAAAATTTATACAAAAAATATCATAAAAATGTTGTAATAGTGATGCTATAAATATAAATCATGTTTATGAGTGTTTTGTTTTAAAGTGAAAGACCACCATTAAACCACATTATTGTGTTTGAAAATTTTATATAAAATTTATGTTTATATATCATCACTCAATAAGAATATGTTCAGATATAATTTAATGATGGAAAGTTGTAAAATGTAGTCATGATGATAGGAAGAAGAAATGGTAGGAAAAAGGGCAAAACGGTCATTTAGAAAAAATTTAGGGCATGATGCCCGCAATCCAAGGGGCTATTTGTAATGAGATTACAAACCTCAGGGGAGGGAAATGTAATTTTTCAAATGTGAGGCGGAATCTGTATTAAACAGAAACCTCAAGGGGTGTCTGTGTAATTTAACCAAGTAATAAAGGGAGTTTTTACTTCAAAATATCACGCTTAGATTAATTAGTTTCCGCCTAATTGATCTTTAAAAATCGGACCGTGACATTTGCCTTGCTTTTCGCCCAACAAATAATTCTCTCATCTTAGCTTATCATCTATAATTTTTAACTCTACAAAATTATACAATCATTCTACTAATTTAAATGTTTTGGATAGTCTACACGCACGTGCACACACACATATATATACATATTCATTTATATTTATATATGTATATATGTTGAATATGATTTGCATATGACACTGGTTGTTAATGCGTGGTGGTGATGGTGGTGGTGATGGCGGTGGTGGTGTTACGAGAGAGATCAATTCCAAAACAGTGATATTGGGTTGGCCGACTGAGTTTAGAGAGAGAAAGGGAGATAGAAAGGGAAGGGGAATGTTTGGTTGCAAAGATAAGCATTTTTATTGGATGTTTTAATTAGGGTTATTTGGCTACAAAGATAAGAAAAGAGGTAAAAAGAGGAGGTGACAATGTAAATTACATTTTTCATCAAATGTCCATTACCAGCATCTCTAACATGGGAGGGCATTTTAATTGCACAAACCACAAGGGAGGTTCCAGTAATAGCCAGAAACCTCAAGGGAGATCCATGTATTATCCAAAACTTAAATTATCAACAAAGGGATCTTTTTAACTTCATGTTTTCAATCTTATTACCAAGTCAAAATTAATAAAAGAACAAATTAAATCACAGATGAAATGTATGTAAATAAATGCTTAAATATAATTACGTTATACTTTGGATTTGTTAAGCAAATTAAGGTATCTGCAACCCCAGTAAACACAAAAGCAATTATGTGCAACAAAAATGCACACAAATGTGGACATTTATGCTTCTATTTTCATTTCAAGTCTCTAACCCAGGTTGTTATTGAAGCCATCAATACCAATTTATCACACATATCACAGTTATATCTTGCTAGCAAGTGTGAGTTCTAAATGATCAGCTGATGTGGTAGGGGAATGATAAGCATATCAGTCAGAAAGTAGTTCAAGAGGTTACCTATCCATTGCCTCTTGAGAAAGGTAAATGGGAGTGGGAGCAATGTCATTTGTAGGGCTAAATGGTTGCACAAGACGAATATCATCCAGACCAAGAACTGCATCAGCATGTTCGTGAGTCAAAACAATCTGCAGTTTACACAAGCATTAATTCATCACACTCTTGATTTCAAGTATCAAGAGAAGTCACAGATGTTATTCACAGACAATTTTGCACAACACAAAACCAAAAAAAGATCAATTATGAAGTAATTCTCTAAATTCTACTAATCTATATAAGACACTTATATCACCAGCTAAATGTCATTTAATGCTTTTACTTTTCACATTAAATTATTTTTACTGGGTCAGCCTTTTCTAAGCACCTTAGTTCAAATGCCAATATCCAAAGAGAGTTCATTTTGACTCCATGACAGATTGATGAAATTTCCGAATTATTAGAGCTCACATCAAATGTCTGTACTAGTTCTCGGTTTTATCGAAAAGGAAAAAGAAAAAGAAACCAAGAAGGAGAAAAAGAAAAGGCACCAAATTGCCGTTCTTAGAGATATAACTGCACGAGGCAGCAGAGCAAGACGGAGAACTTCTGCATTATAAAATAAATGAAAAGGGTTTTGAACAACATTTAACCAAAAAAACATCCGACATAATGATGTAGGACAGTTTGGAGACCTTTTTTTTTTTTGAACAACTTGGGGACCTTGGACTTAAGCCTTCTAACTGGTTTTTGTGGTGAAATAGGGTTGCAAAAAGCTAGTAAGTTTGGGGTTGAGGTTAGCTCCATTCGGTTCAATTTTTGAATCAATTTTTCAAAACCCAAAACCCAAAATTTGTCTAGTTTAGGGTTTTTGAAATCTCACTCTAAAATCCAAAACTTGTTTGGTTTAGGGTTTTTAAAAACTCATTCCAAAACCCAAAACCTATTTGGTTTAGGGTTTTCACAAAATCGATTTTGTTTGGTTTTCACAAATTGGCGAAATAATTTTTTATGTTTTGGATGTATATGATCTAGATAGACTTAAATAGTAAACAAAATGTGAAGAACACAAAAACAAATTTAATAAATACATAAAACTTTAAAATTGTATTAATTTTTAAATTGAGTCAATTTTTATTTTTATATATTTCTCATTATTCGGTAATTTAAAAAAAATACATTTAAATGTGAAACGTCTTAAATGTATGTAGATTGAGTGGATATAAAACCAAAAAAGAAGTGTTAAAATTTTTAAACGTTCATAAAAAATAAAAAATATGGAGTGAAACTTTGCCCTATAAATTAGATTAGATGCATCTAAAAAGTAAATTTAGATTAGGTATATGAAAGAAGTGAACAAATTTGATTATAACATTGCAAAAAAGTTTTGACTACAAGATCCAAAAAAAACTCAAAAACTAGTTTTGAAAACTAATAAAACAAGTTTTGAATTTTCAAATTTCTAAAAAACTATTTTCAAAATATACAACTCAAAACTAGTTTGAAAATTCACAACCAAACAGGTTTCAAATTTTCAAAACTCTTTTGAAAACTAATTCCAAAACTAAACCAAACGCACTAAAAGGTCTAAAATAGGCTCAATGTAGAATGTGCTTTTTTAAAGAATTGGTGCTGGAGACAGCAACAATTGCAATGGTATTCTGGTGGGCAACAAAAGCCAAAACATAGGGGGAAAAGGATTAGGAGTAATTTAGGCTTCACATCTTTTGATAGGGTTATCGAAATTGGGCTGCTTTGGGGATATGAGCAATCACCTACTTGTTGTCTTGTGAAAAGAAGAATATGTAAAAAGGAAAAGGAACTTTTCGTCCTTGAAGGGTTAGAAAAATTCATATAAACACAATTACCAATTCTCTATTAAACTCTACTTCATTATATAGAAAATTACACGTATATTTATAAGCTGTTGGATTTATTCTAATACTACTAGGATTATGAATCGATAATAAAAGACTAAAAGACTGTGCGTACAGAATATTTTAGGCCACTAAAGACCATTTGAAAAACCTGAAAAAATAACTTGACCGGTAATATGATCCATAGGCCATTCTACAATCTATGGCCAGAAAAACTTATAACTATCAAATAACCATGACCACCAAAATATAATACAAGGTAAATAACACTGACCACCCCTATGGTATATAGCCCTCCTGTGGCTTCAAAAATTACAAGGACTCCCTGTCAGGGAATTGTCGGCAAACAACTGTAACAGAAAAAGCTAAATAATCTTTCTACTCTTCATGTCTCAGGTCAAAAAGTCAACAAACACCATTCTTTTTCTTTTTCTTTTTCTTTTGCTTCTTCTCTACAACAGCATCACCACCATTAACTTCATGTGCAATGTACAATTTGATTGTGTAAGGCTAGTATAGTGCTTTTGGTGGCATGATGCTATGTTACATGGACTCAAGTACAAGTATTTGGTGCAGATTTGTCCAGGCATTAGAACTTCATAAACCTAAATCTTAGGATATTAGGATATGTATCCAAAAGTTGGATATGGGCATGGGGATGTGTCATGGACACATATATTGCATATTGTATAATATTATTAGATAATATGTTTTAAATTATGTAGAAATGTTCTCAAAATTAAATAGGATTTAAGACATTGCTTTTGCTAATTCGAATTGAATGATGATATAAAATTGATCTATTTGCGACATCATATCCATAGTTAGCGCATTCATCATAGTTAGCAGCTCCAACTCCGTATCATGGTCACGATCGATATCATCACTAGAAAAAATCTTTTATGATAAAAAAAATTCATTCATTTCGGTTACTTCACAAAAGGAAAAAAAAAAAATCAGAGATCTATTGAATTTCAAGTACTTAGTTTTACCAATAAGATACTATTACTTCCCATTCTACTTCTAATTGACCATGAACTAGATCTAAATCATTCTCAACAAGTCCATAAAAAGTGTTCCCATTGTTTTCATTGGGTCTGAGTAGAGACCAAGACAAAAATTGTTTCAAGCATCAACAAAACCGGAAGTGCCCCTTGTTTCAAAAAGAGGAGGACGAGGATAGCGAGTTACAAATTATGTCACGATAGGAGAGTGCTTTCGCCATTGGTGTGCTTGGTAGTTTCCTTTCATTCTTGCGAACGTACTCCCTAGGCAAGATACATTACCCTTTAGCTACAACACTGCACGGGTCGATATGCAGAGCGTCTAGTAGCCATCGTTCAAGGCTAGGACTACTGGGGTATGTAATCCCATTTGCTCCTTCCCAAGGACAAATTCTTACATGCTACTCACCTGTTGACCGTAGATCGTTACCAACAGAGGACCAGACAGTTGATATCAAAATTCCAAATTCAAAATTCAGTGATCAATCAAATATTGCAAAGCCCCGGTATTTATTATTGATTAGAATTGAACCATAATGAAATTCTGGTCTATACCAGCACCATAATATCAAACTAAACAAGTCCGAACTAATTGAATATTTGTATCAAAAGCTCCCCGAATTGGTCTGCCATTTCCACAAAGGATAGTTTGATAACCTGCTATTAATTCTTCTTTAGCGAAAATGTGCAAAAGCTCTATTTGCTTCTATTTATCTCTCATCTATGTGAGAAGCTAGAAATATTACTTTACTAGCAAATGTAAGTTTCTTCTTCTTCTTCAAACATTGTAAACAATTAAAGGATCCAAGTGTCTAAGTTGGTACAAGTGTTGGACAAATATCCCTCACCCTTATCCTTGTCATGTTTAGTGGATACAAGTACTTCAGGATAAATGGAAGACACCATGTAACATAGGTGTGATGTTAAAAATAAACATAAAGTTTTTTGCTTAGGAGAAGAAAATGTATGTTAAAAAATAAAAATAAAGTTTTTGTTTAGGAGAAGAAAATGTAACGTATGGATTCATAATATGTAGCATATAACAATGTGTGCACCCGCCATATAGGAGGTGGGAACTACTTCACACTAAATGTATTAAATTTGTCTTATGAAGAATACTGAACTACTTTAAGAACTTTTACAATTTTGATGAAGTTCTTTATGTGATGAGCAAAGAAGATTAACTTAATAAGTTCTACTCAGACACAGCATACATAAGAAAATCAATCAAGTTTAATGACATATAACACACTCAGAATTTGAAGACAAGTTGGTTACACATAAGAGAAGCTAGTAGATATTACCACATGCTTCTTGTTGCATCTCAATCGATTAGTGGATAAGGTTTTTATGCAGGTTGGTCATCTAAATTACATAGATGAATTAAGTAACATTTCATCAAAATTCAGGGTTTCATTGACATGAGATTTCCATGATCAGTACTTCCTTAAGCTGAAGAATGGTAGTGAGGAATGCGTGACGACTTGTTCCTTGTTTTAAATTTGATTTATGCAACATCAACTTAATTCGTCACAAAATCTTCTAGAACATCACTTCTCATCATCATTAGCAAGATGCGAAGGAGAAAAGAGGAAGAAGAAATTGAGGACTGGTACCTAGATTGATCAAAAGGCCCAAGACTGTAATGCCAACGCATGATCTGACTACCTCACTAATTTTTTTTTCCCTACAAATGGCAAAGGTATACATTTTTTTCCTTTTTCACAACCCACAAAACCATAAGTTTTTAGAGAATATGCATGAATGTAGTGATAACATCATCTCTAACCCTTCTTCTCTGTTTTTAACATCATCAAAATTGTTTATCCCTAACAACAAAAAGTGAAAACTCAATTTGTATTTCCCTAGCAAGAGATGATGCCAGTAAATCAAGAAATAAGACCTAAGTAGCACAAACACGGAAATGCCAACATGGTGATTTTAAAAAATTGCAGGTCACAATACATCTAGGACACGATAAAAATTTATATTTTTATAAATTTATTATATATCAAACACATTAATAGTTTATTCAAAGGTAAACAAAAAAACACAACATAACACTAATTAAAACTTAAAAGCCGTATATTCCATAACTTTAACTTTAAGATATTATTCATTTAACAAATTTTTTTTTTTTTTTTGTTTTTTTGATTGGCACTGAAGTATCCGGATCAAAGCCCGACTAATCTCTAGGAGTGCACAGGCCCTCAGAAAGGAGTTTCTCACAAGTGCACCACGATCAAGGTTTCAAAAAACGGTTGCGGTCGTCATAATAGTTGCGGTGGCGTGATTGCGGTTGCGGGGTGTAAAACCCATAGCGTAACAGTTGCGGTAACCGGAACCGTGAATTTTTAAATTTTTTACACAATTTGAAAAAAAATTACCAACACGCATATTTCTTTTTTCAAAATCATATTTATAAGGGTTTAAAATATATTTTGATTAATTTTTGTTAATTTTTAAGTATGATCCAATATATTTCATATTTTTAAATCACTATAAAAGGAGTTTTTTTATATTTTATTTCAATAGTTAATGACTTTAAGAATAATTGATTTTAAATGTCTGTAAAATTATTTTTGACCAATATCTGAACTAACTAAATAAAAAATATTTATAATTATTAAATGAAATGATTATAAAAAAAATGTGTCATAAACAAAAAATATTTTTGAGTTGATATTTTTTTTTTAGAAGACATTTTTTCAAACAACACTTTATAGCTAACTAAATAAAATTATTTACTATTAAGTAATAAATGAAATGATTATAAAAATAAAAGTTGTGCCATAAACAAAAATTATTTTTGAGCTACTGATTCTTATTTAAAGACATTTTTTAGACAACACATTAAGGTAGCAAAATAAAAATATTTACAATTAAATATTAAATAAAATGATTATAAAAATAAATACAACCACTATTTATATTTTTTTTTATTTTACATGCTAATGTAATAAAATAAAATAAAAAAAATTCATTCAAGGTTTTTTCGTTGGACTTGGATGACATGAGTATTCATTTTTTTTTTTTTGTAAGATTTTTTTTTCTTTGGAAAGGAAGCTATTCAGAATGTTGTAACGGTGTGCAATGGGCCGTTACGGTACCGCTACAATAGTTACATAACACCGAAACGGCCTTACACATGTGAATTTCCATCACACCGCAAAAGCAGGTGTAACGGGTAGTGTTTACTACCACAACCGTTACGTAACGGCCACAACCGTTACGTAACGCCGCTTTTTAAAACCTTGACCACAATTAATTCAAGGATTTTTCCTCAGTCCGATGGCCCTAAGAAATTGTTAACACCTAAGAGGTTTCGATCCCTAAACCTTAGAGAGCACACCCTAAAATCCAAGGCCTTGCCACCAAGCCAACCACCTGGGGTTTATCATTGACGTAGCAACTGTAATCTAAACAAAAGAATGCAAAACAATTGTAGAATATAAAAATACAAATGATGTATTCAACTTATAAATGTTTCAAAATACATTTAGAGTGAATAATTGCATTCTAAAGAATACAAAACATTGTTACGATGAGAAGGTTCATCCCATAAGTCGTGTTTGAAAGGTTTAAGAAGTATCACATTGTTTGCCGAACTAGATTAGCTGGGATTATGAGTACAGTGAGATTGAGTGAGGGGATTAGCAGTGTAATGGTATTGGGCTGGAGTTGTAAGATAAATTGTATTTATTTATGCACTATTGTAGTGATATTAGTTAGTTGGGATTAAATCTATGAAATTACGTAAATACCCTCATTATATAAAATATGGCTTTGTTGTTTTGGTAAAGTGGAGGGCAAAGTAGTATTTTCACCCACAATCCCATGGGATTGGATTATCAATACCACCTCCCCCATGGGATTACTAATCCCCTCATTGGAGGGTATTCATAGTCTCATGAGACTATCAATCCCATGGCATTTTTCCCAAACAAACATAAAACTTGTGGAACCCAAAGACCACTAATCCAATCGCCCTCTCCAAATTTCTAAACAAACATGGTGTTCGAGAAGTGTCTGTCTGTAAGGTTTTACGTTTTTAATTAAGACACAAAGAAGTGTCAAACATGCATCTTAGGAGTGTCCAAATAGTGTCGAGTCTGACACCACATGCCTCCTCCATAGAAGTGCATGCTTCTTAAGATAAAACAATAGTTCCCAAATATTTTCTTTTCTTTTCTTTTCTCTTTTTTTTTTTTTTTTTTTGGTTGGTCTCCAAAAGGAGTCCCAAATATTTTCTTTTTTTTTCTTTTCTTTTTTTTTTTTTTTTTTTTTTTTTGGATGAGTTATCACAGTTCCCAAATCTAACAGTGGAATACATATTAAATGCGTGTGTATGTAGGTCATCTTACGGTTTGAAAAGGCTCATTCATTTAGAATTATACATGTTGTAACAAAAAGCACATAAAGAAGTAAACTCACAGAATCCACCCGAGGTATCTTGTGGAAAGTAAACCACCGAAGCACTTGTTCTCTAAACGTCTTTCCAACATCTATCAATATATAACTGTGTTCACCATCGCTACAGCAATAATCAATGAGAAGAGATGTGTTGCACCTACACATTCATAAACCATTAGGCTCAGACCTCCATTTTACAGCTATAAGAACTCAATGGATCAATGACAATAAAAATAAAATACAAAAATAATACAAGCAAAGTGATTGCCAAAGTTGTTTCCATGTTCAAGATTCTTTCAAGTGGCAATGCCAAATGGGGTGCTTCCAGCTACCAAATAAAATATGAAAGGCTCTGTTTGGGAAAAAGGGTTGGAGGTTAAAATAGTCAAGAAAGACAAAATAGACTAAAATAGTTAATAAGACAAAATGTTACGTCCAAACTATAATCATTTCATTTTTTTGTCATAACCATCAAATCAACTATATAAAAATAAAAATAAAAAAACCAACTTTCTTCTCAAACATAACTTTTTTAAGCCTAAAATAGTCAAAAAGTGGAAAATCCAACTAAAATACCCAAGTTCCCAAAACAGGGCCTAAATAAAGAAAAAATAAATACACTCCAACAATGGGTCATCACATTTACTGATGAAATCTATGTAAACCCGTCATTTACAATCTATATGTGCAATTTGCAAACCTAAAAAATGTTAATTTTACTCAAATTTAATTCCAAAGAAGCAACAATTAACCATGAAAACATCCAATTGAAGCCAAAAAACACCCATTCAACAAAATCTAAAAACAAAACCATAATAAATAAACCCTACATTCACAGATCCATGTCTGACTTTATAAATTGGCCACAACTCCAACAGAATTCAATTAAAAAAAAAATCATGAGATTAAACTGATAACCTGTAGTTAGGGTTGCGGTCAGGAGGGAGAGAAAATGACTGGAAGCAAACTTGGCAGGGAGGATCGGAGGGCTGGATCAAGCACACTGCATTCGGGACAGCGCTCGAACAACCTGTGCCTAGGAATATCAAAGCGGATCGGGCTTCCGCATGGCCGTTCTCCACGGCATTGCCGGAGATTTTTTCCATTTTCCGATGTCTCCGAAGAAGAGAGAGAGGAGCGAATGAGGGAGCAAGTGTTGTACAAGGTACACGGTTTTGGCGGTTGGTGTTTTGCACACATGGTTCGTGTCCAACGCTTGCGATTTTTTTTCCTTCTTAACTTTTCGTACCAAGAAAAACCAGGGATTAATTTTGCGGAAATATCACTTCAATACTATTTTTAACAAATAATTACAAATCAGTCATAAATTTTATAACTATCAGTAATTACAAACCAGGTAGCTACTTTTCTCTCTCCACAAGACATTCAAAATATTCTCAAAATTCATATGAGTTATGTTAGAAATTTAAATAAATTATCAAATTTTTTATCAAACTTCACGGGCCGGTCCTATGGACCAGTCTTATTACCCAACAGGTCTGTACGAGAAAGAAATAAACATTCTCGTATAATCCTGTTGATCAAGTCTGCGCTCCTCTAAACGTTGTCGCTTACTCCCTGAAAATACAAACGTGAGCTAGCCGGCGGGTGTGTGCCGGAAACCCCTCCGATGCCTAAGTCAGCAAAATAGACAAGTAGGCAAAAAGTTCTGTGTATCAAAGTTGTGCTACCTCTCCATAGGTGATATTGGTGAGCTTTTATAGGTTCCGTGTGGCACAATCCAAGTAGGACTCTTACTCCTCTATGTAGAGTCCTCCTAGGATTCATACTCTTGAAAGATAATGTTTATCCTTCAACACCCTCCTCACTGCTTAAACCAAGTGAGATAGTTTTACCATGGTCGGACTCTACTATGACCGAGGTAAGCATGGCTTATGCTAAGCCGCAGACTAGACCGAGCTAACTTTAGTTCGGCTCTTCCATTCATTGCTCTTACCCGGGTTTCTCCTAGTGCCAACCATGGTGTGATCAGACCGAGCTATCAAACAGCAAGGTTCTGGCCGAGATAACCTTAATAAGCCAAGACCGGGCTAACTTTGAGTGCGGTAACCGGGCTAGACTCAAAGCTTCCTTTAGACCGGAGTAACCTCAAGATTCTTTCGGACTGGAGTAACTTTATACCTGTCTTGGGCCGGAGTAACTTTACACCTCTCTTGGGCCGGAGTAACTTCATGGCCTTTTTACTCAGTCCTTCGCAATGTGGCCCATAACGGCCCATTACCCAGCTCAGCCCAATTTATAAGTATAAATTACCCTCTCAATTACCACTTAATTTCATCTGCGTAGCATGATAGGGATTACCTGTTACCAGCCGAGCTAAAAAATTTCAGAATTCCAACCGAGCTAAAATCATTTAGCCTTTCCAGCCGGGTAAAAAACCCTTTTAGCCTTTCCAGCCGGGCTAAAAAACCATCTTAGCCTTTCCAACCGAGCTAAATTCACACCGGGTTGTACCTGTCCGGTCAAAACGTCTCTTCAATTACAGCAACTGAAACGCTTCTTATTTCATGGACACGTGGCATGCTCTTATTGGCTGAAGGCAGCTGTCACGCCGCCCTCGTACCTCGTGTTTTTTGAACAGTTCCCGCCTGCCTCGTCCGTTTTTGTTTGGACGTTCTACCGCATTGATCTTTGCTGTGGTCTTTTTATCTGGTACTGCGGTCGTGCCAGATTTTGTTTTGACACGGGCGCCATCCTCTTCCACCCTGATGTGCTGATGCATTCTTTCCATTAAGGCCTCCATGGTGAGGGGCAGTGTCATGGTGATTGAGTCCCTCAGTCTGTTTCCGATTGGAAGGCCTCTTTTGTATTGTGCAATGGCGAGATTGGTGGGGCAGTCCCCAATCTGGTTGAATGTCTCCCAGTAGCGACTATTGTAGGATCTTAGTGTCTCCTTTTCAACCATGTCGATAGAGAGTAACTGGTCAATCTCCACCGGGGTTTTGGTGTTTGTTCTGAACCTCGTAACGAACGCCTCCGCCAATTGTGCCCAGGAGGCTATGCTGCCTTCTGGAAGTTTTTCGAACCAAGTCAAGCCTAGGTTTCCAAGGCTTGATGGGAAGATGATACACATCAAAGCCTCGTTTCGCCGATATACCGACATAACCTGGCGGAAGTGGCTTAGACGTATGTAAGGGTCCGTCTTCCATTCGTACGTGGTGAATTTGGGTTGAAGGAAACCTGAAGGAAGGGGCGCGTTTTCAATTGCCGGAACGAACGGCGATGTCTGCAGCCTTGCTAATGCTTTGTCCGTTGGTTTGTAAGCAGGGCGTGGTAACGGCATTCCGACCTCGACGCTTTCATGCGTCCGAGGAGCCAACCGCTGAAGGGCAGATACCCTGCGAGGGTTGCACGCCCTAGTATCCTCCTTCCTTCGTGCCTTTTCTTCCAACATGTTCCACAAATCAGACGATCTTGGCAACTCCGTTTGCCTGGATGATGTCTGGTGCGAGCGCGAGGGTCGATAGGTACTTCCCTTTGTGTAAGACCTTAATGATCTTGTTCTCTCAGACCTGGAGAAACGAGTTCTAGAGGTTCTAAATTGAGTATCGCCTGTCCTGAGGCTTCTACTCTCTGCTTGTGATGGTGTGGAATGCCTTCCACGGTCTTCTGAGCGGCGAGGGGGCATTTTGCTTTTGCGCCCCTCTCCTGTCGCCACTCATTTCCCCTTCATCTGGCGCTTCATAGCCTCTATGTCCGCCGCCATCTTCCTTATTAATTCATCTTGCTCCTTTACGCGGTCCTCCAAAACTTGAGGATCAATCCTCCGCCTTTGTCTGTCAGGACTTCGTGAACAAGAATGACGGGGGCTGTTAGTCCGCCTCCTCCCTCTTGTATCCCTCCTAGGATTTTGTCGCTGTGACTCCAAGTCCGCCATGGGAGGGATAAAAGGTAGGCCTTCGCACCTTGCACCCCCCTCTGGTGTTTGTCCGTCGATGGCGGACTGCGGCAAATCTTCGTTGTGCGCCATTGCTTTTAAAGAGGAAAAGCTTGATCAAGAGGTTTTGTTCTTGTCTGAATTCCCACAGACGGCGCCAATTGTACGGGAAAGAAATAGACCTTCTCGTATAATCCTGTTAATCAAGTTTGCGCTCCTCTAAACGTTGTCGCTTACTCCCTAAAAACACAAATGTGAGCTAGCTGGTGGGTGTGTGCCGGAAACCCCTCCAATGCCTAAGTCAGCAAAATAGACAAGTAGACAAAAAGCTCTGTGTATCAAAGTTGTGTTACCTCTCCATAGGTGATATTGGTGAGCTTTTATAGGTTCCGTGTGGCACAATCCAAGTAGGACTCTTACTCCTCCATGTAGAGTCCTCCTAGGATTCATACTCCTGAAAGATAATGCTTATCCTTCAACACCCTCCTCACTGCTTAAACCAAGTGAAATGGTTTTACCATGGTCGGACTCCACTATGACCGAGGTAAGCATGGCTTATGCTAAGCCGTAGACTAGACCGAGCTAACTTTAGTTCGGCTCTTCCATTCATTGCTCTTACCCAGGTTTCTCCTAATGCCAACCATGGTGTGATCAGACTGAGCTATCAAACAGCAAGGTTCTGGCCGAGATAACCTCGATAAGCCAAGACGGGGCTAACTTTGAGTACAGCAACCGGGCTAGGCTCAAAGCTTTCTTTAGACCGGAGTAACCTCAAGATTCTTTCGGACCGGAGTAACTTTATACCTGTCTTGGGCCGGAGTAACTTTACACCTCTCTTGGGCCGGAGTAACTTCATGACCTTTTTACTCAGTCCTTCGCAATGTGGCCCATAACGGCCCATTACCCAGCTCGGCCCAATTTATAAGTATAAATTACCCCCTCAAGGTCCTACTCAAAAAAATCAAACAGTATTTTTCATTTTTACCCCTAGACTCAACACTGCAAATTTATCACTGGTTTAAACAAATTTATCACTAGTTTAAACAACTTTATCACTGGTTTATCACTGATTTAAACAAATTTATCACTGGTTTAAACAAATTTATCACTGATTTATCACTAATTTAAACAAATTTATCACTGGTTTAAATTTATCACATTCTTGTCCACAGCTTCGTAACTTTTGCTACTTTTCTCAAACCGTCGTTGAAGTCTCAACAATGGCGATGGCAAGTTTACAGAGACTCACATCCCAATTATATCGAAACCTGTTGGATAATCTTCACTGTATTTAAATAAATTAAATTCTGTTGTATACTTAACAACAACTAGAATATAAAAAGAAATAAAGGAAATGAGAGAATTTGTTTGATTACAAAAAATCAAACTAGAAATAAAACATAAATAAATAAAAAATATTTTATTTTGTTACAAAAATAAAATTAAAATCTTATTTAAATAAGTAATAAAAACACCGAAAAAAAATAAATAAATAACTTGCTTGATTATTCTTGAAAAATAATTTGATCAAGTTCAGTGTTCGACACTGTGTCCTTAAGACAAATTCGTCCTCTCCACGGTGCTTTCAGAATATAGACGTCTTTCTCCCAGGATAAAATGATCAATCAACGGAAAATAGCAGCACTACAAATTTTCTGTACGACGAACACACTAAGTGTTTATACTCGCTCTCCCAAGAAAATAATGCAACAATATGAAGAGAATAGATGCAGAATTATTTTGGACGAAATCAGTGAAAGAATCATCAAATGAGGGCTATCTATTTAGAGATGGATTTGTGGCTTTTCAATTTGAATCCAACAGGTAGCAATCTGTTTTGAACAGATACAGTACCTGTTCGACGCTGTTTAAACAGGTTCAAACTATTCAGTTTTGAATTTTGAACAAAAACCGAATCTGTTGCACAGGTTTCGGACAGATAAATTATGTACAGGAAAACTGGACAGATTTGAATTAATCTGTACAAAATTTGAAGAGGTGCAAAATAACTTGATTTCAAACAGAATTTATTTACCAAAAATAAAATTAAATTTAAATGTTTTTTGCCCAAAAAGATTAGTATTGGGCCGGACAAGCCCAACCCAACCACACACCACGCACCCGAGCCCAAGCCCAGGCCCAGCCCCAGCGTCACCGGGACGGGCGGCGGCGGCGCACACATGTGTGGTGATTTTTTGGTCCATTGGGTCTAGCTCATTTTGCCCATAACCTCTCCCTTCTACAAACTTGGGGTACCCCTCTGGGCCCTCCCCAAGTTATAATTCCAAACTATATAAACCCATTCAAAACTTCCCACCAAACCAATGTGGG